AAGGGCTGCTGCACTGTTTCAGGGTTACAAAAGTGAATGTAAAGATATGCAAGTTGGTACCCCTCAAGGTGGAGTACTTAGCCCCACTTTGTTCAATGTTCTTATGAATGCATTATTAAATATAATACCAGACAACCCCAGCAATATCTTAATCAGCTATGCTGATGATATTCGTATACATACTAAAACTCATCGTGAAATGCAAACCACCCTGAACCATGTATACGCAGCCTGTGAACACCTCGGTCTTATTATCTCCACTGAGAAAACTAAGATGTTCAACAAACAAGCTGGTCACCGCAAACGCGGCCCCGCCAAGTTCAAGATAGGTAACACACTATTGACTGGGTTTTTTTTTATAACATCTTGGTGTTTCCGTCCCTTGTACCCTACCTGCCATACAACAGCTCACCCGCCAATGTACTGACAGACTGAGACCTTAGAAGTGTAGCTCACATTATGGTGCTAATATTAGAATTGTTAAAACAATGTACCTAGGCTATATAAGATCTCTGATAGATTACCATGCACCAGCCCTGGTCCTTCGTGACAGGAAAGGCGTTGACAAACTCGAAAAAATTCAAAATAAAGCCCTCAGAATTATCCTAGGATGTCCCATGAGCACTAAAGTACTTGATATGAGGAAAGAACTAGGTATACCCAGTGTCAAAGATAGAACAATTGAAGTCAACCTCACGATAGCCCTGAGGCTTCTGCGTGGTGATCCTGATAACATTGTTTCCTTAAAATTGCTAGAATGTATGAACCATGGGACTACTGAGTCTAAATGGATCCAAACTACAGCTACACATATGAAGATGTTTGGACTAGACTACCTGTACAAAGTTGAGACAAAAGCGCTTCCTGCCACCCTGGCGGACAGTTCCCTTCGATATCACAATACCGACGTATCCGCCAAAAAAAAATAATTATACAAAGCATTTATCTCCAACACACTGCCAAATTGAGAGCTCTTGAACACATACACACTCTACAGACTGATGATAATATCACACAGACCATCTACACTGATGGATCTCTTAACACCTCCTGTGGGAGGGCTGGAAGTGCTATTGTTGTGACTCAACCTGACGGTAATATAATTGAGAAAGGAGTTAGCATTAACAACTGGGCATCCACTCTACAAACTGAATTAGTTGCCATACTCACAGCTATTAAATTCATTGAAACCACTGTTACTGACAGTCTCATCATCACTGACTCTCTATCCTCATTACTTGCCCTTGGCACCCTCGACTCAGGTTGTCACGCTCTTGTTCTGAAGCCAGACACAAATATGCGTGCCTTGTTGACCGGGGTGTCAGGGTCAAACTGTTGTGGATCCCCTCTCACATAGGCCTCATAAAACATGACAGAGTTGATGCCCTCGCCAAACTCGCGTCTAACAAAGACACTGTTGAATACAATTTGGGTCTGTCAAAAAGAACCCTTAAAACTGTAATTAGGAAAGAACTTATTGATGAATTTGACGCAAGTAGACAAGTGCAAACAGGCACTAGTCGACCCATAGTTTACCATGATGAGATATATCAAGTGAAACATGCATATGGAGCAAGTAACAAGATCACTAGATTACAAGATGTTGTAACCGCTAGACTAAGGTTAGGATATAAGTACCTTTGGCAGTATGTTCCTCAAGCAGATGTGAACAAGACTAAATGTAAAGTGTGTGGCCATACATATGGCCACACACTTGAACACTACGTCCTCGACTGTGTGAAGATAGAACCTTTTAGGGACAGGTCCAAGCACACTGTGTGTGAAATGGCACAACACTTTATTTCTAATGGCAAGATAGCCGACATATTAAGATTGCATCCACTTTTTTGCACTTAATAACTATATCAGTTCTCATGTATAGAACCAAACACACAATGTGCTTGAATACTTCTCACGCAAATGTCAATAACAAAGTGTGCGGCCAGACATACTGCCTCACACGCTTGTACTCACGCATTTGTGAATAAGTTACCCTTTATGTATAGAACTAAACAAATAATGTATTTGAACTACTGCGTAACATTCAGTGCCATAATATCCTGACAACGGGGGTTAATTATTATGACCCTTTGTAAACTCTACTCTGTAATCCTTTTGCGCTACCACTCACAGGATGAGTGTGGGATGCACAATAAACTAGTCGCTCTAAGCGGCAAAATCAATGAGAATATTTTCTTTATTTATTAATACTAGGTCCAATATATTGTCTCTAAAAGCTTCTGTAATTATTTTTTTTTAAATACCGTACAATATTTCAGTTAAAGGTAATAAATGTTATATGTTATGACGTTGATATAACCTTAAGTAGGCTTCAGTAACAAACTTCATACAATTTTGGCGAAAACTTGTAAAAAAAAAATGAATGTGCTCTTTTTTCCTAGTCTGGTGATTAAGCCTTTTTTTTCCGGTGCCATATATTTCCTATTGCATTTTTTCCTGTGCCATTTTCTCCTACACTCTAGCACCCTCCCTCACACGCCCAACAGAGGTCGCAGTAAACACAGTATAAACCTTCACTCCTCACACTGACACAACAACATGAAAAAGAGACTTAGAGATCCTAGTGCAGATATAATTACTATAATCGGAGGAGATCCTGTCAGCTCGGGTATCAGCACGTTCCACTACCCTGCTAACACTAACTGGTGATATTTCTAACCTGTAGCCCCACAGAGTTGTTTTGATCACTCGGGGTTGTTGAAGGAGGTAGTAGTATGAGGACAGGTTGTTTTACAAGTGGATGTTAACTACTGTATTTCTTTGTATTTTGTCTAGGTTAAAGTACAAAATCTCATCAACAAACCCTGAAATCCCTTTTTTTATATGATTATGAAATCCTTTACCCTGCCCGAAAATCCCTGAGAGATAAGTACAGTTGGGGGTAAACAGTTCGCGTTCCCTCCTTACATGAAACAGCATCGAGCCTTAACGAGATGAAACAACTCATTCCAGTGGTTCAGTTTCACCACGGGGCTTCATTGAACCCTAAAACCCCTGTATATAAGTCTTAAATTCCCTAAACAAACCTGACCACCCTTTGAAATATATATACTCCATCTGTATTCACTGATATACAGGCTGGATATACCATGAATTATACATAACATAAATGAAAGCAATCTTACCTCACCTACACACAAGAGTAAATCCGGGGCAACAAGCATAACAAAATGTATCAAACCTTAATACAGAACTATTAAGAAACAGTTATAGCACTCTCAGACGACAGCGTAAATAACACCTTGCCTCACCCTCTCCACACCTTGCCTCACCTTCTCCACACCTTGCCTCACCCTCTCCACACCTTACCTCACCCTCTCCACACCTTAACTCACCCTCTCCACACCTTGCTTCACCCTCTCCACACCTTAGCTCACCCTCTCCACACCTTGCCTTGCCTCACCCTCTCCACACCTTACCTCACCCTCTCCACACCTTACCTCACCCTCTCCACACCTTGCCTCACCCTCTCCACACCTTGCCTTGCCTCACCCTCCCCACACCTTACCTCACCCTCTCCACACCTTACCTCACCCTCTCCACACCTTACCTCACCCTCTCCACACCTTACCTCACCCTCACCTGAAGATTAGGCACCCCCAATTTTGTTCACGTTATGATTAAAGACCCTAGCTGTAATCTAATTTAGTTTAACCTAACCTTATCTAAACCCCTCCCAGGTAACGTTCAGGTGTATAATTATCAGGTGATTCTAAACTGAACCTGAAGAGAGACAGACAAAAGAAAGATAAATAAACACCAGGAATACTGAATGAAATATCACACGAGGCAACCTGCATGACCCGGTACACTGATGTTATCCCGACATATAACTACAACCCGGCCTTGGTCAAACACTAAGTTTACTAGTAGCTGCCACACCTCAGCCCCCAGGCCCCGCGGGGTTGGGTGGCTGGCTGACCTGTACCCAACCATCGGAGGACAAGAACCCGACTTATAGGGACAAACTCTTGTTGCCTTCACCCACTACTGTGTAACATTTATCCATAATTCCAGTGCTCTGGAGGTGCGGGACCTGAGTGTTGGTTAACTTGTTTCGTTACTCAAGGGTCATAGAGCAAGTGCCGCCGCTCCTCTCTCTCTCATTGACTGTTTTATTGCCTATCTCTTCCCAAAACCCGTTTCCTGTCGCCGCCAACTTATAGTCGTGGTGGATTAATCTCATCCGGGATTATGCCACCTTACAAACAAATAACCAAAGAGGGGTGTTCAGTCGTACAATGAGAAGTGAGGTAAACGCGAGCCTCACTTCACTGCCCGGGACAAGAGGTTTCTATTTGAATGAGGAATTTGGGGCAGGATGATGAGAGACGCAGTTATTCCTCCCAGCCAGTGAAAAATGTTGATGGGGAATTATGGATAACAGCTGGTGGTGGTGGTGCCGTTCACTCAGCTTCACGACGACGTAGGCGCTGAAGGCGGCCCCTCTTATATGAGCCGCATATTCTTGGCCCAAGATCATTTACACGGACAACTTGAGCTATATGCACTTCTTGGTAACGCTGCTCTAGACAAGAACCCTACCAGGAAAAATCCTGTCCAAATCACTTGCATGAAGGAAGGAAACCGAGGAAAAATTCCAGATAGTCGAAAGTCTGTTGAATACGGGTGGGAGCTTCCACCCAAGAGCGCGGGAGATTATCCCACAGTGGCTGGGCCAGTGAAGGCTGTTGCTGGTTGACAGTTACTGTATTATCACCGGTTTATTATCCACCTGACCATCACTATGGCAGCCAGGTTTTCTCCCGTAGTTGTAAACAACGCTGTATGGTGACTTACTAAGTTTACCCTTGTCTACCAACATGAGGCTAAAGGTCAATGGTCACGTATTTATAACGATGCTGTTGACAGTGTGGTTGTTAAACTCTCCAAGGTCTGACGAGTACGAGCTGGAATACTAACCTAATGTACTGACAGTAACGTATAGCTTTGTGTCAACACAAACATCTAGTACATACCTTGGGGAAAATCCTGACTGGTACTCCACTAAGTACGTGATCCTCGGACTTTCACTTGACGCACTATAATAAAACACCCGTCTACAATATGCACTTGTTGAGTGTATAACACAAAACTTCCTCCCCAGGCACACACACAGAGGACAACACCTCCACTGGCAGCACAGCACCACCACACAGACGCCACTAGTCTAACACTAAATGAACATTGCGCAACTAATGGCACACTGTCCTGCACCAGGGTTTAAGTGGCTCTACTACCTCGACCAACAATTCTGTGAGGCTATGCACGAGGGAAGTGACGTCACAGGATACTGGCTATCCGTTATTAGCTTATTGCAGCGCCACTACACAGCAGGTGTATCGGTCGCTCACTGACGCTCACAACACGACGCAGCTCACACATAAACCTGTTCCCTGGGTCTTCTCTCACTCCCAGTCGCAACTAGCCTACTACAGGACTCTCTCAAGCTGGGCACTTTGCGCGCGGCACCCCCAGTTAGTTCACTCCCCCTCCCTCCATGATCAACCCCAAGTCCCAACACACACTCACTCGGCACTCAAGCCTTAACAAGCATTGCACTTTTTTGCCGTCTTATAACTAGTCCTATCAGTTGTAGTTATGACCAGTATGTGAACCTTAAACTTGACCTACATGACTCTATTGGTCGTTATTACCGGTGTAGTTCGCGAACTTAAAACTCCACCTAAAAGTCAGCCCTCCTACACCAGCCAGTGGCCTTGGGGTTCTTATAATGTCGTGAGCTTCACAGTACTCCTGTTGTTAGTTGTGTAAATTTATTTACTCGTCCATGTACTTGCCAGTTTTGTTCACTCGGAGTAAAACTGAAATACCCAAGAACCGCTCGTCTGAAATATAGGAGGCAGGAGGCCGTAGGTAGCCCGGCAACACTGCAGATGCCATGTAGGACATTACCTTCCATTCATTTAATGATGGTACTGTACGTCCAGCTTCTACAACACTAAGTTTACACTGAGATGATAAGTGAGTGATGGGTCACACGCCCTTGGGGGTCGGACAGGAACTATAACAACAACAAACTATCACACCAGTGACCGACACACACTCTTATCTTCCTCCACCGGCGTCCGCGAGGTCAGTCCCATTGCTAACCCAACCTGGATACTACTCCCTACAGGTCTCTATGTCCACGTGAGCTTTTTGTCTGTCTTTATTTTGTATTAAGATAAATGTACGAAAAATACGTAGTTAAATTGACTGAAAGTAACCAAAGTTAATAAAGTGAGCATATAGAGGCAGCCCGGCCACTTGTGCTCCGGGTCAACCTTGCAGCACATCTTCACTAAGTTATTTGTATCTCTCCGCTGAGTTGAGTTCTGTACGCACCTCCCCTACCCCACACACACACACACTACTACTTATGCTGTCACTCGGAATCAAGTATGACGATCACCCAGCTATGATACAATGATAAGAGTTATTATACTGTAGCCGTCACCTTCGTTGGTGAGTTCTGAGGTGACTAAAGAGGCAGATACGGGACCAGCGGCAGGGCTGTCAACAGATGTTGTACGTGTGGAGCACCTTAGCCTTTCGTCTTTATTCAAGACATCTTCCGAGGCAACTGAATTTACAGGGACCGAGAGAGGTTTATACACATAAGGTGACCTTACAAAATTTCAGGTTAGGTCAATAACATGAGATCCACTACACACCACCACCACCGAAACATAAGAGGAGCTTATAAATATGGGCGACGTAACTAGTCAGGTCAAAAATATGAGACCCACTAATCATCTATCCTACCTGTACCTCAAATGCTTTCAAAGCATTTTTAACCTTGGGCCACTGACAAATAAATTTCTGTAACATGTTATCAGTTTTGTACTGACCAACACTAAGGTTTATAGTATTAATTTCTGTAATCAAACTTGCTTCAACCAGAAGTCTTTCTGTGACACATGTTTATTTATACACTTTTAAACTGTTTTCCCAATCTATGGGATGATTATTGTTCCTTACATGAACGAACGGTGCACTGCTTTCAGATGCTGTTCTGATATTAGACTTGTGCTATTTTGTTCTAAGTTGCAATGCTTTCCCAGTCTGACCTCCATATTTCCATTACAATTGCTACATGGAATGCAGCAAACACTCCCATTTTCATAAGAACATAAGAAAATAAGGAGTCTGCAATAGGCCGGTTAGCTTGTGCATGGCAGATCCTGTCGAGAGTTACTACCACTCTCTATCATCCATGAATCTATCTAGCCTCCTTTTGAAACTTTATAGCGTTCCAGCTCTTACTACAAAGTTGCTTAGCTTGTTCCACTCGTCCACCACCCTATTTGTGAACCAGTTCCTTCCTATCTCCCTCCTAAACCTAAACTTAAATCCGTTGCTCCGACTCCTATCCCGCTCGGATATTATAAGAACTTTATCTATATCCCCTTTATTGATTCCTTTCACCCACTTAAATACTTCTATCATATCTCCCCGCACTCTTCGTCTTTTTAGGGAATGCAAGTTTAGTTTCTTTAACCTATCTTGATATGGAAGGCTTCTAAGTCCCGGAATCATTTTCGTCATTCTTCGCTGCACCGACTCCAGTGAATTTATATCCATTCTATAATAAGGGCACCAGAAATGAACAGCATAATCGATGTATGGCCTGACTAGCGCAAGACATAGTTGCAAGAAGACCTCTGCACTCTTATTACTTACACTTTTAGATATCAAACCTAATACTCTGTTTGCCTTATTTCGAACATGAAACCACTGTTTTCTAGGCCGTAGGTCCAGGCTTACAAGTACCCCTAAGTCTCTTTCACAAGTCGACTTCTCTAGGTTGATGTTGACATTCAAGATTGGGCTATTCTTAATTAATATATTAGTAATAGTTGAGTCATACTTAAAAACAACATTAATGTTTAATAATTTAAGGGACTGAACCAAAGGGACAAATTCATTGCGATAAGGTAGAGTAAAAATATTCTTAAATGTAGGAACTTGTCTAGTTTGAGTAGACTAAAAGGATATTTATAGCCCCTTTAAGACAATGATCAACAAACAATGAAGGGTATCCAAGTTTTTGTGCAATGGACTAAATATAGAATCCCTAGGAAGAATTCAGAGGAGAATGACAAGACTAATCCCGGGCATTAGGAGCCTTGAGTACAGAGACAGGTTAAAGCATCTTAATTTGCACTCCCTCGAGAGACGTCGATTGAGGGGCGATATGATAAAGGTGTATAAATGGAAGTCAGGAGCGAACTCGTAACAACGGTTTTAAATTAGACAAATTTAGATTTAGGCGCGAAATAGGTCAACAATGGTTTGGTAACAGAGTAGTGGATGAATGGAACAAGTTACCAAACATCATCATTAACTGGAACACGCTGGATAGCTTCAAACATAGGTTGGGTGGATATATGAGCAATAGGGGTTGGGTGTAAATGGGACTGTCCAGTATGGGCCAATAGTTACTGTTTCCTCCAGTCTTATGTTGTTATGTGTTGCAGTTCTTTTTCAATAAATTCAGGGTCACAAATACGCAAACATCTAAAAAAAACATAGCAGAAAAACTGACATTTTGGTAGATTAATGGTGACTCAATAAATAATGTATGAAACTGTCTACCTGTGTAGGCTTTCTGTACACCTTAAATTTATAGTTATGACCATTTCTCATGATAAGCATATCAAGAAATTGAAGGGATCCATTTATTTCTCTTCCACTTTTGAAGGTAATACTAGGGACAAGATCATTAAGTGGGTCACTGTTTCTAGGCCAAAGACAAAGAACATCATCTACATATCTATACTATGGAGGAATAAAGTCCCCTATATTGGGTAATAATCTAGCCTCAATAAACTCCATATAAATACAGGTTAAAGGAGCAGAAAGACAATTACCCATGTTCATGCCAAATATTTGTTTGTCAGACTTTCCATTTGGCCTAAAAACATTGTCAGTAACGCATAACTATAAATTTGAGAAATATATCATGTTCAATAGTCAAATCTAACAGATGCAATTCATCTTTAAGGGATGAAAGTAGGTCATTCACTGGTACATCAAAACTTATTAATTCACATGGTTCATTGTGTCTTTTTTTCCGTTTATCAATCAAATCACTGCTTTTGTGTATATGAGAATTAGATATCCGCCTGTAAGAGGGGATAGCATCCTCATCAACCACTTGGATAATTTGTAACCAACAGAACTCACGATAGGACGTAATGTTTTGATCAACTCACACATATAAGGTAAAGTGGAATTGATTTGAGAGAACTGTTTGATGACATCTGTGTTCTTTTATAATTAGATAACTTAATAATATTTTCCAGGGGATCTTTTGTAAGCTCACAATAACTGCCTTCATCACTTAGTAATGAATTCATCTTATCATTACAGTCGCTTTTATCCAAAATTACAATAGCACTGGACTTATCAGCCTTAGTAATATGGATATTCACACCACTTTTCAAGTTTTCAAGGCTGTGTCATATCTTTTTCGAATGTTTGAAACAATTTTCTTACGTAAAACATTTTTTGTATAAAACCTTTAGCTATGGAAATATTTTCATTTTGTAACATCTATTGACTTATTCTTTTCTAGGTTGATTATACCTTTAGCAATAGTAAGTGGATTAACGGTGCGCTGAGCAATAGAAAACTTCTTACCAAAACCAAGAACAAGTTTCTCATTTGTCTGTAGATCATAAGATGATAAGTTTATGAACAAATTTGGATCACTCAGTTTAGTCCAGTAACTCTCGCCAAAAAAAGCATTTAATTAAGCATTTAACCTCCATTTTTTAACTGTGTCACTTTCACTCAGTAATTTATATATAGAATCACAAATAATATATCACTTATCAACACAAACATTGTTTTTCATTAACACCTTACACTGAGCACTGTGTTTAAATGCCATTTTTACACTATCACTTGAATCCTTGATAAAGGAGTCCAGCAACACTTTATCCAACTCAGAGAAGACTTCATTGTCCAGATTTCTTAATCTTCTTGGAAGACAAGACTTGAGAAAAAAATCATCTCTGCATTCTTTCAAAACTTCAATTTGCTTTTGAGACTATGAGCTTTCAGCAAACTCCCTTTTCCTGTGTGATTTTATCGATATATATATATATATATATATATATATATATATATATATATATATATATATATATATATATATATATATATATATATATATATATATATATATATATATATATATATATATATACTGTATAGTAGAGATGTGCCTAAGCTCAGATCAACATCTTGGGATTAAGATTAATACAGTACACGGGCGGAGCAGTGTAGGGTAATGTTTACTGGAGGTGGCTGACAGATTACAACATTTAACTATTTACTTAAGATAACATTAACTATAGTAAGAGAGAGAGAGAGAGGTATATAGTTCTCCGCTTATGGTGGTATTCTACACCCTGTCCGCTCTGAATCCCGGA